GGCCATCTTTTCCTACTTTATTAATTTAATGTTGAAAGCAAAAGAGGGTATATTATTTGCTTTCAAAGCCAATAACATGTTCATGCCTGGTCTGCAGCATTTCATATTTACAGCCCATCTTTCAGAGGCTGGACTTCCTTTTTCTCACAGGTTTCCTCGTCATTCTATAACCAGCTCACTGGACCATGGAGTCAAGACCCCTGCATTTACATTGTGTTTTATTCGTGTATGGCTTGCTGAGGGCCGTATCTCCATTGGATACTGAGAAATAATGATGACTGAAACCAGAGGTCGGCTGGGAAAGAATTCTGAACATCTTTGGAGGTCAGATTTTCTACAACTATAAACTGCATTGTAATTAAATCATACTTATCTTTGGCTAACGGTATGTGTAAATCAAACATAAGACAGAGAGAGAGAGAGAGAGAGAGAGAGAGAGAGAGAGAAAGCTTCTCCCATAAAAAACTGACTGGTAATTTGCTGAAGCCCAGATTTCCAAATATTTTGATTGCTAAAATTTTCATTTGGTTGCTACACATCTTTTCCTAACTGTGCCACTTCAATATATAACATTTAGCAAGTCCTTAGACATTTTTAACCTTAATAATATGAATATGCATATACTCTAAACATGGTGCCAATAAAGCATAAAAGCAAAGTACTTGTCATTTCACACAAAGACATTTATATTTCTAACCATTGACCTTACTGCCAACTTTCCTGATACATCATTCAATCTAATTTTCCAATCTGTTGAAACATTCTCCAGTTGCTGAGTGACTTCATAAATTGTATTTATAACCCTGGCCTTAAGTTTCTTCAAATGATGTGGCCTTGATGAGTAAACAGCAGATTTTTGGCAAAGTCTCATAAAAAATAAAAAGTAGTCAAATAAGAATGGGTCAACCAAATGAGTTCCCAAATGATTTTTTCAATCCTCTTCTCCATCAGATAAGACCAGGGTAAACAGCTTTCTCAAACCAGGCCTTTGACAAAAGGTTGAGAACTGAGTAACTCTGTGACCTTTTCATGAGCCTGAAGAAGGATCAAGACGCCAAATCAGAGGCCTACTGTTAGGGAAGAATGGCACATTCTACAAAACACATTCATGCTTCTACTGAAAACATGTTTCTAAGAACTGGCTCAGGAGACCTACTTGAGACACAAAATGAGCCTGAACTTTCTAAGATACAGCAAAAGTATTGTTTTCAAATGATGCAAACTTCTCATTGTCGATTCTTTGTGGAAGGATGTGTCCTGAACTCCACCGTCAAGGTAAGGGGGCAGTGGTGCAGACAGGGATGAGGACCACAGCCAACTGCCCTTTGCAGGCATTCTAATGCTCCCATTCACATGTGGCAGGACGTGCGTTCCAATGGATTTAGCCCAGTGTGGATCAAAGCTTCCTCTACTTCACTTAACAGATTTGATCAGATGGAAGGTCTCAGAGGAGAAACTAAGTTAGTAAATTGGGGGATTTCTGGACATACGGATATGTAGGTCATTGGATTTTTAAATAAATTAGAGAACAGTTTATCTATGAAGAAAGATTCACTGTACATATTTTATGAAACCATGTTTATCATAGGTCAGTGGACACACCACAACCATTCCTTAGAAATATGAAGTTTTAAAAAAATACCATCATACGCCTCTAGTTAACGTTTTAAATCCATAAAATGATAAGGGACAAAAGAACATGTAAAATTAGGATTCATAATCAAACTGTCAAAATGCAAAGATGTAAATGCAGTAAAGAGCTACTAAGCAACTTACTTCATGTCCATCAGTCCAGTAAGTGAAAGTATGCCAACACTAAAATAAATTCAGGATATAAGCAAGGGAAAATAAATGTGAAAAAATAACACCTGACAGAGCACTGGTCCTATTACTTCTCAGAATTACTAGTCCTGCAAATACCATTTGCATCACTGACAGGGCACTGGGGCTGGGGCAGGGCCAAGGAGCACAGCTAGACATTGAGACTCAGTCAGTGTGGTTTCCATTTAAGTCAAGTTTGGAAGATCTCATAGGAACACAAAACTAATGTCTGTTTCTCTTCCCTCTCTCTCTCTCTCTCTCTCTCTCTCTCTCTCTCTCTCTCTCTCTCTCTCCCTCTCTCCCTCTCCCTCTCCCTCTCCCTCTCCCTTTCTCTTCCCCCACCCCAACATGAGTAAATCTGATACCAGTATCAGCCCACTAAATTCAGGGGACTCAATTTAAACATGTTTTTCAAAAGAAAGCAGTACAGTAAAAGTGTCTATACTGTTTCCACAATAACATCGCGTTTTAGATTTCTGAAGGTACTAGGCACTGAACTGAAGGCAGGTTCCTTTCCAACTCCTACTCCCACGGCATAACCAGATGTCAGATAGGCTAGCAACAACACTGATCCACAACCTGGGGTAAAAAGCACATCCGGAGACCAAGATTCCTATGCAGGTGATATATTATGGAAGTGCTTCTGAGGAAAATTGGTGAGTGACAAGGAGAAGCAGGACTGAGAAGGAAAGAAACCCACACAAGGTGCCAGCCTTAGCCTGATCCTGCAGAGAGATTTGCAGGGGAAGTCACACTTCAGAGCTGTCCCTGCTTCAGGAGGCAAGGGAGCTGGGCTTTCGTCCGCACTCACCTATAAGACATTGGTTTAGCATATCCAGCTCTTTGCCAATGTGAGCAGAGTAAAATCCAGTAGCTTGAGGAGAATCCTTTGAATAAAGAGCCAACTAGCTAACATCGGGTTTTAGAAGTGAAAGCAGGGGGTGGGGTGACAGGTTGCAGTAGCAGAACATCAAACTTAAGACGAATGCTATCTATCTATCTCAGCCTCCTCGGGTGCACTGACCATCCCACATCACTTTGTGACCACAGGTAACAGAATGCTTAGACATGCATCAGATGACTGCCTGAATAGTAGTGACCAGGTCAGAAAGCATCTCATCACTGCTACCTTACCATCCTCATTGGTCCCCACTTGTCCTAAGTCTTCAGACATGAAAAGTAGAGCTAACCTTTCAAAGGACCATAAAGAAGAAAGTGATATTTTTTTGATATAAGAATACGTTCTATATATAAGGTCATAATGACCAAAATAGGCTTCTGCCCTCCTGATGACGCAGGCAGATGTGACGCTCTGCTACGCCCTGCATCCAGGACACAGTCGCATGCCTGCGCTGCAGATTCTCTACCCTGGCATCTCATGGCCTCGAGTGTGCTGTTTCCCTTGCCCAGCACATGTGACGTAATTTTATGATCTTAGTTAGGACAGGATATGTTTGTACTAACACTCCAATAGAGAAATATAAAAAAATAAATAAATAATAAAATAAGACTGGTAAAAGGTTGTCTGCCTCAGATGGTTATGAAAAACATTTTGGGTACAATATAAATGTATTGAGAGCTACCTTCCAGAAATATAGCTTTATTGCTTAATTCTGTTATTTTCTATCACCAAATAACATACAGAGTGGCAATGGATCAGATATACAAAGCAATTAATAATTTCTCTTTGGAGAACTAACATTTTCAAATGCTGTTTGTTATGAATGTGAGTTCTTCACCTAGGAGTCAAACATGAAACACTATACTGGTATGTTTTTGTGCTTATTTTTTTAATAATTCTAGCATCATTTATGAATGCGATGCATGCGATTTTGTTCTACATACAAACACACAAGCTGCTAGATTTGTTCTTTGTTAGGACTGAATCCAGGAACACAAACTGTAGGGTGAAAAATTGTTTTTCATTGCATTTGATAGTAAAAGGGTAATAGGCATCGTGAACTACCTCTGGAAAATATTCAGTGGGCTGAGGACATGCTACATGACAGTAAAGCCACTGAGTACAAGACTGGTATTGCCTTTAGGTGTCCATCTAAAATAACAGTTCTTATTCTGCGTGCTTTGAGAGAAAAAAAATTTTGAGATTCTCTTCTGCCCAAAGATTAACAATTCATCTATGTTATTATCTATAAAAGTTAATTTTTATTTGCTTATTATAACTGGCAAATTATTATATCACCCATAAATGTCCAATTCCACTCAAAAAGGCCTAACATGTGGAAAACCCATGGTTGGTTTCCGAGGGCATGGCACGCTGTATTTTCCATTGAACAGTGCTGCTGGTGAGACCCAGCTGCCCACCCTCACTGTTAGTGACTACGGTATACACAGCGAAAACAATCTGCCTGCTGACCTCCAGCTTAAGTTCAAACTATGTCATTCTGTCAATACCATCTACCTTGATTAGGTTGGGCTTTATACACAACAGGTTATGATCCCAGAGGGATGAAAAGCTTTCCCAAATTAAAAGCAGAATTTTAAAAGGAAATACTCATACATTCCTATGCAGTTTCCATTTGATATCCTCAAGGCTGGCCCATGAGCTCCAGCTCATGTTGATTGAAAGTGAATGTTTCTTTCTGGGTGTAGCCATCTTACAAATTTAATGGCAGGAGGAAAAAAATAAAATGTGTTCCATGTTTCAATTAGACCTTTTATAACTTGGCACTTGAAAGATGGCAATGCCAAAGAAAAATCATTAATCCATAAAAATAGACAAAAAGGAATGTGCAGGAGAAGACAGAGCTTCAGAGTCTAGGGCCTTGGCAGAGCATTCTCTCGCACCAGCATGCTCTGTCTTTTGTCTAGGCTCATTGTGCGTCTACTCTTACGCTTCACGGTATTTGGAAAAAAGGTATACTGTATTTGGTTTCAGTCCAAAGTAATGCAACCATACTTTCAAATTTACCCTTAGCCAAAGGAGCTGCATGTGGAACCAGGCACTAAAATGTTGGCTAGCCATGAAATGCCCATTCACGCACATGAATGATAAATGAAAGAACACACATACAGAATGGCAAATACAGACTAAAAGACACATCCTTCTATTTTTTATTTTGTCTCTGTATGCAACAGACTTGCTCAAAAGGACCAGAGTGTTTCCTAACCCCAGTCTATGTAACTGTGGACACCCAAATGCTGCCTGAGTACCGACTCACAAGAGAGAAGTGATGGAGTGATGTCTGGAACCGTGCAGACCTCTGTGAGCCTCCAAACTCAGTTTCAAATGATGTAAACAGACTCTGTCAATAATAGAAAGTATAAATCTGCTAAGAGTCAAGGGAGCAAGAAATTTCACCTCTCTGGGTCTCCTGCCACACTTAATCTGTCAGCCCCAAACCTCAAACAACCCTACTGCTGCCACTCCCTGAGTTCCCGCACTGCTGAAGCCTGCTACCAAACCACAGTGGTTGGTTCTATCACTCCTGCATGCTGTTTGGCTTCAGCTGAGGCCCCATTCTACCTCACAAACCCTTCTATCTCAAACGGACTCCTATCCCATTCAAACTTTCAACCCACTCCTGGCCTCCCTTTCAACATCAAATTTGGGTACAGTAATTTGCCCCTGCTTCCGTATCCTCAACAGTTAATCACTCCTTAAGTCCTGAATTCTGGCTCCTGCCTTCACCACTCTAATGAAATTATACTTTCAAGTTTGCAAAGATCTCTACCAACCAATCAGCAATTTTCATGGCATGGGTTCAAGCGTATCCCTCCCAGACTTCTTAGGTTTCCACACATAAACAAGTCTCCTGGAAACCCTACTCATGTCTTGTATCTATCTCACTAGCAGGTCTCCATCCTTCCATCTTCACCTGGCCCCATCTCTCCCAGCATTTCTTCAGTCTCTGCCTAGTGGGAGTAGTGGTGAGGGTTTTGTCCCTCATTTCCCTGACTCTTTAGATCCCAGACTCTGTAAATCAATTTCAAATCTCTTTCTCTATCCCTGACCACTCACTTTTCTTAGCACCAAACTCCTATTTTCAATGACTGCTATACATTTTCACTTCAAGAAATCTGCCTGTACCTGAAATTCAAGATAGCCCAATCCAAAATAATCACTGTAACTTTACCCCAACCATCTCTATCAACATCCTCCTTGATTCTCCCACTAAAGCGTTATTCTCAATTACCAGGCTCACACCTTGGCATTGCGTTACCTCCTTCCCTTTTCACCTATCTAAGTGGTTGCACTTTTCAGGCAACTGGACTTTCACAACGCTTGTTGACTCTACTCCATTGCTGTCAGCCCGGTTCAAAACTTCTACTCATTTCAGCTGGACACTTATGGCAGTCTTGCAAATGATACTCCTACCCTCTTGCTATCATGAGGGGAAGAGAAATCTTCCTAAAATCCAATTCTGGTTATTGGACCATAGCATATTCCTGCATTAAATCTTCAATGGTTTCCAGTGCCTACTGAAGTTCGAAGTTCAAAGTTCTTGTCATGGCCCAAAGACCTTTTTTGATCTGCTCCCTCCAGATGAAAGTTCTATTACCTAGCTTTGCTACCAACTATCCACTATTGCCATATTTTTAACTCAACATTTTTCTCATGAATTCCTTTAATCTAAAATATCCTCCTTTCTACATCCTTTGCCTGTTAAATTTTATTTATTCTTCAAGGTCTAACTCCCCAGCAACCTAACACTCAAGTCAGCTGTTTACATGTGTTGGTCCATGATCTTTTTTATTTTCACTTTCACAGAGATTAGATTCCTGCCTTGCATTTAGTAGGTGGCTCAACTTAAAACCACTGTCCTCTTAAAGACTTACCATATTCATTCTACTGTAGTATTCCTTACTCCCAGCTTCTCATGAACACCCAATATAACAACTGCGGACATTCTCCTATACTGTTCACCACACTTCACATTTTATTTTAGTTACTTGGGTTCATGTTTCACTACAAGGTCCTTAACTCCTTGAGATTAGCACTTTTACTTTTTTGTTGCTCAAATAAGGGCTAGATCAGTGGTTCTCAAAGTATGGCCCCCAGACCAGTAGCATCAGCATCACCTGGGACCTTATTAGAAATGCAAATTTCTGGGTCCAACCCCCAGACCCATTGAATCAGAAACTAGGATGAGGCCCTGAGCAAACTGTGTTTTAACAGCCTTCCAGGTGATGCTGATGTGCACTTAAGTCTAAGAACCACTGATGGAAAAGAATCTCTTACTTATAAGTGACCCCTCAATAAAATAAGACATACATACATAAACTGTTTATCTTCCTATCATTTAATATTGTATTGGCATATAATTCCCCTAAAACACTTAAAATATGAATAAATTATTCATTACAACATTATTAATATCTTAAATCTTATATATTTTGAAGGGTTTATATATTACAGAAATTATAACACATAATGATACTCTTTATGAAGTTCAAAAACAAAGTAACAATAGATTTGGCATGCACTAATAGTTTTAAAACTACTTTTTAAAAAACAAGGTAATGATTACCACAAAATTCAAGGTCAGGGTTAGATCTGAGAAACAAGCAGATAACAAGATGAGGGAGGAGAGGAGCACACAGACCCAAGACACTGATAACATTTTGGGTCCTGAGTTGGTGAGTTCAGACATGTTCATTATGTTGCTAAAATTGATTGATTAGTTATAGCTATGCATGGATCAATTGCAGTAATAGTTCATAAACTAAACATTATTAACTAATCTAATTATATGTTTTTATGAGATCCATAAAAACTTTTTAAGAGATAAAACAAAAATGTGTCACAATTCCATCCCTAACATTTTTTTTGTTTTTTTATTGTTTTTGCTGTTACAGTTGTTCTCACTTTTTCTCCCTCTTCTGACCCCAAGCCCATATTTACACAATGGAATACTATGCAGCAGTGAAAAAAGAAGAAGAAACGTTTACGTTTTGCAACAGTATGGATGAAGTTAACCACCAGTTAACGTTCATATTCAATGCTAATGGTACCTGTGTGCGGTTGAATGCCACTCTTGCAAAGACAGCTTGGGACACACTGGCCCTCTTCAGCTCATCTCTGACTTGCTGGTAGATATCTGGAGAGACTTCCACAGAAGAGTTGGTTGGCTCTGGCTTAACTGCTCTGGGAATGGGTGGATGGTTCAGGAACTGCTGGTTGATGGCTTGAGGATGCTGGTGGGCCAGGAGCCGGCTAACAGCAATCTGTTGGTTTATCAGATGGGCCATGGCTATTTGTTGCCTCACAAGCTGTGGACTAAGCTGGGGAGAAAGAAGACCAGGGCTCATGATGGGCTGTAACGCGGGCACTTGGTTTCGGATTGGTGTACTGTGGTGGATTTGGCTATGAGGAGACTGTTCGTTGGTTTTCCCCAAGGATGCCAGCTGATTCATATTTGGCAAATGCATTGGACGCTGGCCCAGAACACAATAGTCTGAAAGGTTTTCTCGTTCCACTCTTTCCACTGTTAAGAGATAAAAGTGATAATTATCGTTATGTTCACTGGTATAATTTATTGCTAATCTATGTAATACTGTTTTATCACATTTTTGACAAATTAATGACATACACTCTTTCTATACAAAACTGGAAACCCCAAAGTAAGAGTAAGTTATGCTTTTTTTGCAAAATATTAGAATAATAGATTTTTTATAAGTGGTATGGAAGTAATAATATTTGCCATTTGAATTTTTTATATTCTTAAAAGTAAGCATTTTAGTGAATAGCCAAGGCACAAACCACTAACCATAATAAATTCTAGATTCTCTTATATTTCCAAGCTCTATCATCTCCATCACCTTTTGTTATAAAAGCAACAGCTGTTAACATCTTCTGTAGTTTGTGATTAATGGTCAAGTTCATGGTCATCAGGAAATGATAAGGACAGTATCTCCTGCCAAATTAACTACAACCTCCTAATGCAAATCCACATAACTACCATTATACAACATAGAAATAGTCACAGACAATGCTTAACACATAGTGTATCTTTTTACCTACTCACTTGCTATCTTTGTCACAGGAATATTTCTTTAATAAGTTAATATTTTAATGATTGTAACACACAGTAGGATAGTAAAGCTCACAATTAATACCATCACCTTGACCTGCCACTCAATACAATGCTTCCCCTTTCCAGGTTATCTACACTTTACATTCTATCGCACTTTAGTAAAAATTTAAGGGATAACCTTGAAAGGGAGAAGAAAAAGACAGTATCATATGTGTTCAAACATGAGGCAGACTTTTTTCTTCCCCCAAGGATATTTCTCAACAAAGAGTGAGTCACCTCATAGTCAAATCCTTATCTAAATCTCTGTGTTACTTTGTTATGTAAAACAAAGGTTTATTTGGAGAAAATACAATAAGCTAAAAAAACTCTCCATCATTACTAGTTTTGAATGCTTGTAGATGTAATCTACAAAATCTGTTTTTTAAACAAAAATTCCGAACAGATTCAATAATTATTTCTTAAAATTACAAATGCTGGATATGATTATGCAAAGCCTATTAAGATAACTTTTTTTAAAGAGACTCCTTTGGGTAGTTAAATGCTTGAGATCAAAAGTATTCACCTATAGGAAAAGGTTTTTAAATGTCCCTCTATTTTTGTACCATTATTATGGTGCCTGTAGTTCAGCACATGGTTTGCAGTGACAGAACCATCTCTGAATCAAAAAAGTGCTGACTCTCCAAAAAATTTAGGCAGTGATATTTGCTAGAAAACTGGGTGAGATGAGTCAAACAGTGATGAATTTGTCTTTACTTTGGCTGAAGAAACTAGTCACAGATCACATGTGAAGACTTTTGAGTAATCTGTTAATGAATCTTAAGGGTGGGGAAAAGCAGTATTTCTAAATTAATATTTTATGTAATATGTGATTTTAAAATGCATATGAAGAGGTAAATTAATAGATAAAAATATAAGTAAACATTTGACCATTTTCTCTACATATCTAAAATTTTATATATTCAAAACCTCAGAAAACAGATAATCTTGGGCTCACATTGCATTATGACACATACAGTATTTTTTCCTGCTTTAAAAAATCTGAATATTACCTCACTTTCCTATGAACCCCATAATAAGTCAAAAGTTTACATCAAATTTCTTTAAGTGTTCAATTTTTAACTTAATCCTTCAATGTAATTCATTTAGCTTGTATTCAACCTCTCCTTCATGAGGTTCAAGGTGAACAAATTATTTGAATTTCATCCGCTAACAGCAAATATTTTTCAGTCATTGTACTAATTAAACTTTAAGGTATACAATCTTAAAATCAAGCCAAGCAAATAGTTAAGAGCCTTCAAATAAGGCAAGCTAAGACAGTTTTCATAAAACAAAAATTACCAGTATAGTTTCCTTACTGTGAAGAGCGGCAGAGACTACAGACTGCTTCTAGAGTCAAGTCATACCTTATAAGCAGAAATAGTTGGCCCCAGGTAGACATTTTATTCACTTTTGTTTAACTGCTTTTTAATTCAGCCAAAGTAAAGACAAATTCAAATATTAAATTATGTTTTCAGGTAGTTAAGCAAAACTTTTATCTGTTTCTTTTTCTACTTAAAAAGCACAGACCATTCTCTCATAGCATGCATTCTTTGACCAAAAACTAATTTTCCAAAATTTCAACATTTTCCTTTTTCAATGATTTAGCTACATTTGAGTAAGTTACTTTCATGAGATTAGCTAAATGATACCATCAATAAAAAAACACTCCATTCACAGATCTAGTCATAATCATGCACACAATTAAGCACAAATATCCGAGTTCCATGAAGCCTATAGGAATTGGGGTAATACAGAACAGAATAATGTCAATCCATATTCCTTTAAGATTATATTATACATAATACTTCTTTTCTTACGAGTTCCTAGATCTTTCTAAGTTCATATAGTTAAGAACGGTGACTGTAGAAATATCTTTAGAAACACGTGGTAACACCATGAAGTACTAACCACTTAGGAAAACACAACAAAGGAACTGCAAACACAAATGCCTGCACACCTAGGTGGAGAACAGCCAGAGACGCCTGCTGCAGGGTACTGAGTAGAGCGAGGGAAAGCCTGCTCAGTCCAAAGGGAGCAGCCCCTAACTTGCATCAGCCAGTTTTTGTCTTCCTCACATTGTCATTTCTTCAGATTTTTTTAAAGAAAATAAAAGTTGGATTTTTACATGTTAGCTACTAATTTTTAAGTGTTGGCAACTAATTCCATTTTCAAAACACAATAAAAGCCAATGAAAACATTTCTGAAAACCAGATGCTGCCCATCGACAGCCAGTCTTAAATTTTTGCCTATTAGACTGAAGACACCCCTATGTTGATGAAGGAAAAAAAATCCAGCAACATGTGTCAAAGATGGTAAGACAGACCTTATACCAGGACCACTGCAACAGACAGAGGAGACACCACAATAGGGCTGCAGGGTGTGAAGGGAGTTTGGGCACAACTCCAAACACAGCATGGGCAAGTGGGAATTTACATCCAAGGAGTAGGGTTAGGGTCAGTGGATGGAAAATTACTTAAGAGGAAATATCAAAAGTAAAGGGGATTCTGGTTAAACCAACCTAACAGGATTCTTTGCTGAAGACAGGCCAGAGTAATCAGACATCACCTGGGGGACAGTGGAAGATGAGATATCAAAGGTGATCAGATATCACGGTTATAGGGGGTTCTGGTTAAACTGACTTGGCAGGGTTCTTACTAAAACTGGAATTTATAAGGAAGTATACAGATGGGCCTAGGAGAAGGTTCAGGGGCCTCTCTAAAGTTTGGCTAAGTAATGAATCTTTGTCAATGTTTTTCAGTCCCTGACAGCTCTACCAATAAAAGCCAAGTTCTTTACTTTGAAGAACAAAGAGGAGAAAGAATCATCATTCCAGCATCACCTGTGGCTAAAACTCAAATGCTCATCAACAGGGTGCATTTCCACTGACCAAAGCAATGCATCAGTAATGGTCTGCAGATTTTGCCAAATTTTTAAAAAAGTTTTCAATTTTTTTTCTGCTGCAACTCCCACAAAAATAGTATCAGAATATTTAGCCTCTTAAGTCACAGCAGGTGAAATACAAAAGCTTTAAAAAAGAGTCAGAGGAACATCACAAACTGAATTTGGGTATTCATTATTTCTATTTCTTTTTCTTTCTAACCTCCCTCCCTTCCTTTTTTTTCCTCCCTCTTTCTCTGCCTTCCTTTCTTTTTCTTTTTAAATTATTTGGAAGTAAACACAAGGAATGAAATGCAGACATAACATAAGTGCCTGATTTTGTGTTTTGCTTTTCTCACTCTGAGAAAAAAACATCATCTTAAGTCTGTCTTAAACCAAATCAAGTCCAAAGACGACACCTTGGCTCTGAAGCACCATCTTATGTCTGCAATATCCAGCCATGGATCAGAAATCTTGAAAGTGAAGAGTAAAAGGCAGTGCTGCTTCTGATGATGGAAACAACATTCACATTCAAACAGAAAACGTTCTCGATGAAGCCAAAATGCTTTCTAACTAAACAGACACTAGAAACACACTGCTTCCAGGGCTTTATGTCAGAGATACAACTGAAGTCCCCCTGAATTTGATTCTACTACTACTATTGGAGTCCTGAAGGTGACCTGTAGAGTGGAAAGTGCCAGGGAAAGAATGCTGCCCCCAGCTCCATGTGCAAGTCCCCAGACCGGATGTGGATTGAAGAACTAATGAAACAAGTGGGGCTGACACACTTCAGCAGCCGAGAGGCTTTCTGTAGCTATTCTCACCCTTGGGCACACAATACAGATCTGGAATCTGCTAGGATTCTGAGAAACTCACAGTTTCGAGAGGATCTTACTGATTCCTTTGAGTTTTCTGGGAGTCAGTGAAAATTACAGGGAATGAGAAACCAGAATCTAACTACCCTTTGAGCTTTTGGGATTCCATTCAACTCCAAAGTAGAAGAGGCCTTCATAGCCCTGTATTAGAATCCCACAGCCTTCCCAACTTCACAGTTGACGTTCCAGCCAAAAGCATCGCCTGACCATTAGCTATTCAATGCCCATGGTTGCTGGCTATGGCAGCTTATTCACACCCCAGGGGTTACACTTCTCCAAAGAGATTTATCTGCATTATAATTAGAAGATATTTGATTCAAAAATCTGACTTTATTTCAAACAATTTTACAGTACATTCAGGAAGCCAAGTACTTATTTTAATTATTGCAAATCCCTGATAGATATATATATATAGATATATATATTAGGTGGTTGCAAGAACATTTTCAATACTATATATACACACACACAAATCTTGTCTTATATTCCTATCTGACACTTTTTTGGTAATTTTTTTTAATTGAAATTTTGGGTACATATCTTTTAATCTGTTGGGAAAGATGTATGATATGACTACCAGCAGAGACTCCTAAACTAGACTGCCAGGGTTTAAACCTCAGTTCTGCCCCTTGGTGGATGTATAACCTTGCTTTCCCTGTG